GTCTAGAAAGAGAGAGCTTTCTGGTCAGTTCATTTTGGGTCCTGTGCCCACCACAGAACCAACCGTCGGCTTATGAGATGAGAACCCTACATCTTGTATCCGTGGGCGTGGATGGGGCAGACAGTCCCTGCCTTTCCCTAACCACTATAAGTAGGGGACGAAGCAGTGATTCTCAACTGGAGGCAATTCAGCCCCCAGGGGACACCTTCAGTGTCGGGATACATTTCTTCTTTGTCACAGAAGAGGAAGGAAGGTCCTAGCACCGGGCGGGTAGAGGGCAGTGATGGTATTTAACCTCTTGCAATGCACAAGATGCCCCCCAGACACACACACTGCAAGGAATGGCCTGCCTCTGACACATCGCGAGAGTGACACCATCGTTCTCTTCCCGCGTCTACGTTCTCGTTCTCTTTCCTTTCAGCCGAGCGTCTGCTTCACCTATTACGTGGAGCCCGATGACCCTGAGTCTGAGCCCCCGGCGGCTCCTGACGCTTCGAAGTCGGACCCGAACTGCACCTTTGTCCCTCTGCCCGTGCTGGAGTTCCGCGAGGTCAAGGTGTGCGAGTGCCCTCTGTGCTGCCTCAGCTTCGTCACCGCTTCCTAAGCCCCGAGGGCCCTCCGCTTCCCGCTCCTGACCGCGCGCCCCCGAACCATGCATGCTGGGCTACCGTGATGCCAAGTCCCCCAGTGCAGCCGCTTCAATAAACTCAACTTGCTGTCTCCCCCGAGGCTGTGGTCTGTGTGTGAAACTCCCAGGGCCGGGGCGGGGCAGCTCCGTGGGGCTGGGCAGCCAGGGTCCTTGGACCTCGGTGCTCTGGGCCACGTGGCTGGAGAGGGCTCACCCCCCACACCCAGGCCACATTCTGGTGCGGGGCAAGTGGGGGATGAGGAGAGGGGAAGACAGGCTTCAGTCCTTCAAAGGGCGACTCCTACAGGAAGCCCAGGTCCCTGTTCCTCACAGCTCATTGGCCAGGGCGGGTCACATGATGACATCTAGTTGCAAGGGGTGCTGGGAACTGTAGTCCTTAGCTGGGCGAGCCTGTGTTACCTAATAGCTGCCATCATTAGAGCAAAGTTGTGTGTGTACTTAATGCAACTCCGCGACCTCTGGACTGTAGCCCACCAGGCTCCGCTGTCCATGGGTTTTTCCGGGCAACAATAGTGGAGTGGGTTGCCATTCCCTTCTCCGGGGGATCTTCCCGACCCAGGGATTGGACCTGCATCTCCTGTGTCTCCTGCATTGCAGGCAGTTCTTTGCCCACTGAGCCATCAGGGGAGCCCTTTTATAGCAAAGGGGAATGGCTGTTGTTTCCACCACTGGCGAGACCTGTTACGTTCATTTATCCCCAGCACCAGGCTGTGGTGAATACACGAGTGAATAAACTTATTCTTCAGTTCTGTATCTCTCTCCCACTGACTAAGATCTCCTCCCTTTTTACACAAATATTTAGAATGATGAACATTTTAGAGCACCGTCCATGTGGGAGGCACTGAGCTAATGTCTTTACACATTTTGATTCCCTTAATTGCATTCTATTATTATCCCTCTGAGATAAGAGAACAGAGAGTCCACCTCACTTGCTTCAGGTCACACAGATCACAAGGAGCTAAGCCCACATTCAAACCCAGGCAGGCTGGCTCCAGAGTCTACGCCCTTAGCCATCATGGTATCCACCTCACAGAGGTGGACACGGGGAGATTCCCAGATGCTCACACAACTGTGGGTCAAAGAGCCTCTTTCAACACTCAGACCTTCCAACACTCCCTTCACTTACCTCTTCGGATGCTGCAGAAATACTTGGAATATGTGTGTAACACGTATCTGTAGCCACAATAGTGCCAGTTAACAACCACCACCACAAAATCCACAGGAGGTGTTCACTGAGGTGAAAACACATACGTGAGAGTTTCCATTTTATCTGGGGATTTAGTGGGGTTCCAACACCACAGTTCAAAAGTGTCAATTCTTCATAAGTCAGGAGTTAATTTCAATTACTTAGTGATCTCATTCCTATGATAGTTTATTTTAGGTTGGGGGAAACATAAATGGACAGACAGGAAATGGACAAAGGACTTGCTTTCAGAGGATTTTTCTGCCACTTCTCCCAGAACATAAGTGCCTCACCCGGATCTTCACTCTGAATTCCTTTCAGGGTGAACTGTAGGTGGTAGTGCGTGGTGGGGAACATCCTTTAGTTGGCAAACTTCAGGAACAAAAGGCATATGAGGTCAGAGAGGAGGCACTGCTGCTGTTTCTGAGCTCCTCCTGGTGCCTGGTGGACACTGGTCCTCGGTTCTCCTAGGCTGGCTTCTCCTGGGGGACTGGGGAGACCTGGCCCCACTCGCAATGTCTTTCCTCCTCCAGCAGGCTGGCTTGGGCACGTTCATCCTCACGGCACTGGCAGACGTGCAGGGGAGAAACAAATGTTGTTTCACAAGCACTTTTCAAGCTTCTGTGGGATCATATTTTGCCAGCCTCCACTGGCAAAAGCATGTTCCATGGCTAAATGCAAATTCAGAACAGGAGGGCATTGCACACTTAAGGGGCAAAGGGTGTAGACGTGAGGCAGGGTGGAAAACGGGCCATGTCTGCAATCTACCTCAATGCAGAGTTGTGATCACATCCCCAAATTCCATGGGCTTCCACCTGTCACAGTGCAAGAGGGTTCACCAGCCTGGCACCTGGGAGGGAAGCCAGGAATGGGGGAGAGCCTCCACCAGCCAGGTGACCCTTCTCCAGCATCAGAAGAGCCTCTGGAAGGATGCAGTAATCAGTCTGAGGGATGAGGAGGAAAGACTTTCTGTGTAAGTCAAGTGTCCAAAGACTTCAGAGCATGTATGCCCCAAAGAAGGCCACAGGCTCCCTGAGGGTGGGGAAGCTTTCACAGAGGGCTCACCCCTTACTCATCTCAGCAAAATCCACACCTTTGCGAAGTTGCACCAAGGATGCACCAAGGATGGGGGGTGGGGGGGCTTCAGGCAGGTCTCCTCCCTGATGCTCCACCAGAAAGTTCACGCTGGGAGCAGTAAACTTTCTGAGTGTGGAAAAAACCTATAGCTGAAATGTGCATGAAAACCCTGGGAGCAAGCAAAATGTGAGAGCCTCTGTGAATAGAGATTTCCTTCACCGCCAACATCTTCGGGTAGACCAGAAGTTCTCATGTGGGGTGATGCTTCAGCGCCCCCTCCTGGAGTTTCTCTGTAACGTTGGGTCTATTTCAGGTTGTCCCAAACTGGGGCCCCGCTCCTAGGCTCGAATGGAGAAGCAAATGACAACCCACTCCAGCATCCTAGCCTGGAGAATCCCATGAACAGAGGAGCCTGGCAGGCTACAGTCCATGGGGTCGCAAGGAGTCAGTGATGACTGAGCAACTAACACACTAGACTCTAACAGATAGAGACCATTCTAAACATGGTGCAATGCACCAGGAAGACCCTCCCCCTGCGCAAAGAATGTTCAGGCCATAAATGTCAGCGGTGACACTCTGGGCGATCGCATTTGAGAAGGAATTAGGTACAATTTTCTGGCTCTCCAACACAGTAACCACTAGGTAACGACACGAAGCTAATCGATGTAAACAAATCAATCTTAAGTAAAATTCAAAACAGAGTTTCCTGGCAGCTCAGGGCAGGATTCAGCAGACAAACGTGTCCAGAGGCTACTTCCCTGGACACTGCAGATTTCTGTGGTCACTGAAGGGTCTGCGTCAGGACTGATTTAGATCCGTTAGGTCATCACACACCGAGGCTCCCAGAAGTGAGGCTGTGGGCTTGCAGCTATGAGAACGTGAAGGAGCACAGTCTCCTGAAAAAATCTTATCAGTGGGTCCCGGGGACTCTTGGCTCCGTTCACGGTCCTCTGGGCACTTTGAGTCTCAGAGTGGCCAGTGCCCGGCCCAAAGGGCACCCCCTCACCTGGGAGAGATTAACCAGCTGGTTACTGACAGTGTTAGACAAACCCTAACATTTCCCGGGCACTTTCTGTCTGTTAGGTCTGGTGCCGAGCACTTTCCATAGACAAGCTCATGTAACCTTCACCAGAGTCTTGTGGAACAGGAACTAAAACAGTCCCCAACTTATAGGGAAGTCACCCAGGCTCATGAGAGCTGTTTTTAAAGGTGATTGTTTCAAATTTTGCATATATATCAAGAATATATTACTATTTTTATAGTACAATTTACAGGATTTAAATTTCCATAAACTACATATATATATATTTAAAAAAAAATCTGTTCACCTTTTCTGTCCGAACTGCACTTTTCAAGGCAACTTTTTGGTTTATTTACTCCAGGAGCTGGCACAAAAAAATTCTTTAAGACAAGGGTGGGCAGACTATGACCATCCAGTCCACAGATTTTATAAATAAGGGCATGTTGACATAACTCCATCCATCCTTAGGACTGTCTAGGATGGGTTCATGCAAAGAGGAGCAGCTTCCACACAGACCTGAGGGCTCAGAGTCTAAAATACCTGCCACACACGCTGGCCAAGAAAGGTGACTGACGGTGATCTGAAGAGAGGCAAACTGCAATCAACACGGGTGAAGGTGTGAGAATGATCAGAAAACGGAGGGAAACTCTGGAACTTCCGTGATGCCCAACGTTAAAAGATATTTTGTGTTTGAGTACAGGACCCGTGCTATTAACACATACGTGTGTTTTGACTGTGTGGCATTTCTTCACACTCTAAGCCCAAGTTTAGAACCACTGACTTGCTCTTGTGACCTGCACAAGGTCATTCTCGTCCCCGAAGACCTGCCCATCACGACCTCCTGTATCGGTTTCTCGAAGCAACGAAGGCAAGAGGCCCCCGACCCTCCCCCCTAATAACCAAGTTGCCGCGAGCCTTCTGACGCGGGTGCTGGTGTCAGAGGCGGTTTGAACCACCTGACTCGGCCTTGGGGGCGGGCTTGGGGGTTGCGCGAGTCGCCGAGCGGCTCAGCCTGAGTACTTAAGCGCGCGTTTGTCCACCGCGTCCCCGAGCGTCTCCGGAGCCGGCTCTGCTCAGGCACCAAGGACGCGCGCGGAGCCAGCCCGCCTGCCCTGCCCAGCGACCCAGACCGAAGCGGTCCCGAGGTCAGTCCCGCGGCCGCCGCTCCGCGGGGTCTGCGCCCGCAGGGCGGGGGCGCAGCGCGGGGCTGGGGGCGCGGGAAGGGTCCCCGCGGGGAGGGCGGGGGCGCCCCGGGAGGAGGTGCGGGCGCGGGTGCTGCTGCCTGGGAGCCCCGAGACCCCAGGGCGCGCGCGGTGGGGGCCCTGGAGAAATCCAAGTTTTCCCCTGGAGGCGGTGGAGACCCTCGGATCCTTTTCACCTCGGGAAGACTCCAGATCTAAAGATTTCACTGGTCACTGGGAGAAGCGAAAACTGAAGGCGACAGAGGAGGCTGGGGTGTCTGGAGGCGAGGATGGCGGGGGTCCCCTCCAGGGCAGGTGGAGGGGGAGCCCGGGTCCTGGTCCCCAGGTTTGAGGGGCGGGAGGGGCGGCCCCGGGGACTTTGCAGTTTGCTGGAGGAGGCGGGAGGCACAGGTTTGCCCTGCACACCAGAGAGGTCAGTCTGTCTCAGGGCTCAGGTAAGGAATTGGCCACACAGAAGATAGGAACATGATTCTGGGGGGCGTCCGGAGGGCAGTGTGATGGGTGGGGAGCCGGGGAGACCCTCTGGGTGAGTTTGGGGTTCACTGAGGGCGCAGAGCAAGGTTCACAGATGAGGAGTGCGCGTGGAAAACAGCTTTTGCGCCTCCAGTGGTTCTGTGCGCCTGCGTGGCTGTGGGTGGGGGCTGGGAGCACGTTTGGGGCGCGAGGTTTTGAGGGGCAGCCTCTGGGGAGGGGTCCGGGCGAGGCTGAGGGTGGGCCTGGGTGTCCGCCAGAGGGAAAGGTACTGGGGAGGGTGAGGGGTCATTTCAGTCTGTGGGTCTGCCTTTGTGCCTGTCTGGAGGGTGTGTGTGTGTGTGTGTGTGTGTGTGTGTGTGTGTGTGTGTGTGTGTGTGATCAGGACTGCCTGTGAGCAGTGGGCTCAGCCCTGAGAAGCAGGCCTGCCCATCTGAGTGATCGGGATCTCTGTACATCCCTGGACTTGTCTGCAGGTGTGTCTGTGTGTTATGCCCTGATTTCTGCAGTCTTCATCTGAAAACGTGTGTTTCCACTGATTGTGTGTGCGTGAGTGTGTGTGTGTGTGGCCTGCGGTTCCCGCGCTATTTGACGCACCCTGTATTTGCAGGATTACGTGTGAGGGTCTGTGATGGGGCTCATGCTTCTTCAAAAAAGGCTTAGAGGAAGAGGTTTGACTCTAGGTTACCAGATAGTGTGCGCTGAGTATGTGTTTTTAAGCATATTTAATCCTCATGTTTAATCATTTATAGTCTTCATTTTCATGGAGGGGAAAGCTGACAGCCCAAGAGGTTAAAAAACCCTGAATCAGGGCTTGCCAGGTAAAATGCAAGCTGCCTTCTTAAATTCAAACTTCAGACAGATACTGAATTACCTTTTCGTATAAATGTGTCACAAATATTTCCTGGGAGCCCATCTGTAAAGATAATTTAATAAATTTTTAATAATTTAAAAAAAAATGTAGATATGACCCCCACAGTGTTTAAAGACTACTTAAACTAAAACTTGATTTGTGTATCTGAAATTCAAATCTCTATTTACTGTGTATTTATAATAACGTTGCTGTTGTTAAATGTGGCCAACTTGATCGTTGAGATCCCCCGCTAGTGACTGGCAGGCTGCAATCCCCCAGTTCTCTCCCCAGACACCCGGCCCATGTCCTGCCCAGGGTGACGCTGCGGTGGAGGTGAAGACCCCCCTCCCTGCAGGAGTACCCCACCCAGGGCTGTGCTGGAGGGTCTGGGGCCCGGCCCCTCCCTTCACCGCGGTCCTCAGGGCAGGACTGATTCCCCCTGCGCCTGGACAGGCCGAGGACAGGAGGGGCGGGCCTGTCTGAACCCCTTGGTCAGGCCGCCTGGTAGCCTTGGGACAGAGCTGAAACATGGTGATGCTGATGCTGACCTTGAGCTGCACTTACTGATGCCTGCTCTATGCCAGGCTCCAGAGGCCCTTCTGGTGCCCAGTGAGCTGAGCTGCACACCCAGGGTGTGGGCCCTTTGTGTCATATTTCTTGTGTTTCTTAAAGGATCATAAACCCACGGACCCCGCCCTTTCCCTTGCCAGACACCAGACACTCTCCCCGAATCACACACTGGACCTTGAAGCAACTCTATGGGGCAGGCATTGCCAACACGTCCCTTGGATGTTGGGGACCCGAGGACTTGGGGAGATGGAGCTGTCTGAGTCCACCTGACCTCTGAGAGCCACACCCGGGCCCCCAACTCCACCGCCCAGGCACTGACTGTGTCCCGTCTGCAGGGGGCACCTGTGGAGTCACCATGCTGCCTCTGAGCACCATTGAGAGCCAGGAACCCGAGGAGGTGGTGCAGACCAAGCCGCCGAAGAAAGGAGGTCAGACCCGGAAAACTGTGGGCAGGCGGGAGTGGGGAGGCTCTCTAGGGCATGGCCGATTGGGAACTATCGACCCAGGGGATTGGCCCTGACCCCAGATGTCTCCACTGGCTCTTCCGGGCAGGGACACCCAGGATGCAGCCTCCCTGCCATCACCTCCCATCAGTGGGTCCCGTCACTGCCCCGCGCAGAGCCTGCAGGGAGCTCCTGGGAGCTGAGCCCGTTTGGGCCCCTCTTCGTGGCCTGGACACCCCTGTTTTCTTACCCCAGCCCCTCCCCTCCCTGACACTTCCTGTCTGTTCCCTGGGGGCCTTTGGGATACAATTGAATGCAGGCCTCACTCACTCCTGGGCGACCTCCAATAAGTGTCCCTACCTCTCTGTGCCTCAGTTGGCTCATCTCTAAAGTGGGCTGATGATAATACCCATCTCAGAGAGTTTTTATGAAGAACCACATAAACGAATGCATGTACAGTACTTAAAAGCGTGTCTGGAACATACTTCACGTGTATTAGCTCCTGCTACTGGTTTCATGATGAAGACTGTATTATGACTGAGTTTCTCAAGCTTCATAGGGTCAGATAGTCTCATGACCCTTTCTTCTTCCCTCAGGCTTTTTTTCTAAGAAGTCTGATGCTCTGCCGAAGAAGTCCAAGAGAATGAAGGGAACTGTGTCCTTCAGAGTCCTGCCGTTCTGCCCTGTGGTAAGCCTGCTTGCTTCCTCCCTTTCCACTGGAGGCCCGTGGGCTGAGCGATTGCACGGCTTGGCCACCCTCTCTGCCCACCAGAGACCCTTGGGTGCCTGGGTGCCCCTTGCCCCTGCCTGGTCCTGGGTGTGGCCCCATCCCGTGGGGCGGGGTGGCTTTCCTTGTGGGCGCTGCCCTCTTCCCTGCCTCCTCCTTGCTGATTCCAGCTTCTGCTCCTCCACGAGGCCCCCCTTGCTCCCTTTCACCCTGTTTCTCTCCAGCCCCTTACCTTCCTGAATTTTCTTCAGAGTAATTATTGACGGCATGCCTTGTTTCTATGTTTTAACCATCTCTCTCTCCTACTAGAGTAGTTTTGTGGGGTCAAGAGCCTCTTCTGTTGTTCAATGACATATCCCCCTCTGCCTAACACAGAGGTAACCAGCGCTAGCACACATAGGCTCGGGCTGGTTAAATGAAGGAATAAGTCAGGGAACGGTCCCTCCTGCGAAGGCAGCTGTGGCCCTGTCCACCTGGGTACCAGTCCTCCTTCTACCAACAGCCTTGTTTTTCCAGCAGGAGGTAGCACAAAAATTTCCCTAGGTCAACGGTGGGCAGACTACACTCATTCAGCCCACAGCTTGTTTGTGTGAATGAGGGCTTCTCAGCACATCCACCCCCAACCTTAGGTAGAATCCGGGCTGTTTTATTGTAAAATCCAGTAGCTGAGACGCAGACTGGATGATCCAGAAAGGCTACGCAATTTGCCATGACACTTTCCACGACAGCGGTGAATGACGGTGCTTCGAATAGCTGCAGGCTGACATCAGTTCAGGTGAAGGTGTGAGAATGCTTAGAAAAAGGAGGGAAACTCTTCAACTACTGTGACTCTGACGCACAGGGTGAAACATCCTTGCTGTCTGGGTCCAGCACACATGCTACACACATGTGTTTCTACGTGTGGGCCGTGTGCTTCTTCGTATTTGAGTAACAAGTTTAAGAACCACTCCTCACCCTTACACCTGCACCACTGAGTCTCCTGCACCTAAAATCCGCCCAAGGCCACCCTCTGTGGCAGTTTCTCTAAGCAGTGAGGAGGCGGCCCTGGACCCGCTCCCCCCAACAATGAAAGTGAAGCCAACACGCCTGTGCTGGCCGCAGGCCCGCTGTTAGCTGTTAACCACCCGCTTGTGTTGGGGGTGGAGGTGGGGCGTCGTGAGTGATGCCGAGCGGCTCAGCGCTCTTCATTCCCGAGAGTGTACCCGCAGGCCCCCTGGACTTCGGAGCCAGCCCTGCCCGGGCCCCCAGGACCAGCGGTGAGCAAGCCGGCGCGCTCCAGCCCGGACGCCGAGCCCGAGCCCGGGTCCGGACGTCGGTCCCGCGGCCGCAGCTCCGAAGGGTCCGGCCCTCAAGGTTGGCGCAGTTCGCGGCGGGGGGCGGCGGGAGGGCGGAGGGGGGTCTCCGCGGGGACGGCGGGGGCGCGCGCGGTGCGGGCTCCTCAAGGGCGGCGGGCGGCTTCCGAGCCGCGCGGGGACTCCGGGCCCCAGGATTTCTGGGGCCACTGGGGGAGCGAATCCTGGAAGGGACAGAGGAGTGGGTTCCCCCCCCCCGAGTGGGGTGTCCGGAGGCGGGGATGGCGGGGACCCCCTCCAGGACAGGCGGAGGGGGGCCCGGGTCCTGGTCCCCAGGTTTTGGGAGCGGAGGGGCGGACCCGGCAACTTTGCGGTTTGATGGGGGAGGTGGAGATCCAAGGGCTGCTCCCAACCTGGGAAGTCAGCGGGGTGTCAGGGGTCAGCGAGAGGGTGTGGAATGAGACATAGGATAACGACTTTGTGGGAAGTCCAGAGGGCAGTTTGAAGAAGGCAGGAGGCCCTATGGATGTGTTTGGGGGTTCACGGAGGACGCGTGAGAAGTTCGCTGATGAGAAGGGCGCGTGGAAAACAGCTTTTGCGCCTCCAGTGGTTCTGTGCGCCCGCGTGGCTGCGGGTGGGGGCTGGGAGCACGTTTGGGGCGCGCGGTTTTGAGGGGCAGCCTCTGGGGGAGGGGCCCGGGCGAGGCTGAGAGTGGGTCTGGGAGTCCGCCAGAGGGAGTTTCCCCAAACTGATGCATCTTTTCTTTGCAGGATTATATGTGAGGGTCTCTGATTGCATCTTATGTTTCTTTAAAATGTTTAAAGAAGGCAAAGGTGTTAACTCTGTTTCCAGATAATGTGTTCTGAATATGTGTCAATCTAACCATATTTAAGCTTCATGTTTAATAATTAATTTTACTCATTTTTCTGGAAGGGAGGGTTGACATAACAAGAGTTAATAACCCCTGAATCAGAGCTTGTCAGGTAAAACGCAGGATCAGTTCAGTTCAGTTCAGCTGTTCAGTCGTGTCCGACTCTTTGCGACCCCATGGACTACAGCACGCCAGGCCTCCCTGTCCATCACCAACTCCTGGAGCTTGCTCAAAACTCATGTCCATCCAGTCGGTGATGCCATCCAACCCTCTCATCCTCTGTTGTCCCCTTCCCCTCCTGCTTTCAATCTTTCTCAGCATCAGGGTCTTTTCTAATGAGTCAGTTCTTTTCATCAGGTGGCCAAATATTGGAGCTTCAGCTTCAGCATCAATCCTCCCAATGAATATTCAGGATTGATTTCCTTTAGGATTGATTGGTTTGATCTCCTTGCCATCCAAAATGTAGGAGGGTTACTTAATTTGAATTTCAGACAAATAATGAATTACCTTTGGACATAAGTATGTCCCAGGTATTTCCAGGGATATATATATAAACATAGGTTAGTATATTAAATAAATGACTTTTAAGTAGATACTTACCATGCAGTGTTTGGGACTTGTTATAGTACAATATGATCTGTGTATGTGAAGTTCACATCTCAGTTTGCTGTGTATTTATTGTAATGTAGTTGTTAAATCTGGCGAACTTGATCCTTGAGATCCCCAGTTAGTGACTAGCAGGCTGGAATGCCCCCAAGTCCACTCCCCAGACACATAGCCCAAGTCCTGCCCAGGGTGATTCTGGGGCGGAGGTGGGGTCCCCACACTGAGCCTGTGCTGAGCCCCCTCCCTGCAGGGCTGGCCCCACCCCGCGGCTGTGCTGGGGGTCTGAGGCCCCGTCCCTCTGTTCACCGAGGTCCTGAGGGCGGGACTGATGCTTTGTACCTGGATGGGCGGAGCACAGGAGGGGCGGGCCTGTCTGAACCCCTGGGTCAGGCTGCCTGGTAACCCTGGGGCGGAGCTGAAGCACAGCACTGGGACTGCTTCACGCGTGCACTTACGGAGCGCCTGCTGTATGCCAGGCCCCAGAGGCCCCTTTGGTGCCCAGTGAGCCGAGCTGCAGCTTCCTGGTCCCGGCCCTTCATGTCAGTTTTTCTAGTTTTAAAGGGGGTAAGCCCCAGGTACCACGAGCCCTGCCCTTGTCCTTGCCGGGCACCATGACAACCACTCTCCCCAGATCACATCCTGGGCCTTGGAGGAAACCAGGAGGAGGCATTGCCAACACGTCCCCTTGGATGCTGGGGACCTGGAGACGTGGGGAGGAGATGGGGCTGTCTGAGTCCAGCCGACCTCCGAGAGCCAGACCCGGGCCCCCTGGCTCCACCACCCAGGCACTAACCGCTGTGTCTCCTGTCTCTAGGGAGGGCCTGCCGCGTCATGATGCTGCCTCTGAGCACCATCGAGGACAAGGAAATTGAGGAGGTGCAGACCAAGCCTCCGGAGAAAGGAGGTGAGACCCACGTGGGGTGGAAAGTATAGGCAGGTGGGAGTGGGAGGGTCTAGGGCAAGGGTGATGAGGAGGGGTTGACCCTGGAGACTGGCCCAGTCCCACCCAGCTTCATGATGAAGATACTGTTACTGAGTTTCTCAAGCCTCGACAGGCAAGATGGTCTCACTCCTCTTTCTTCCTCGCCACGCAGCCCTGCTTTCTGAGAATCCTGATGAGCCTAAGAAGAAGCCCAGAGGAATGAGGGGAAGACTGTCTTTCAAAGTTCTGCCGTTCTGTCCCATAGTAAGCCTGCTTGTTTCTTCTCTTTGACCTGAGATCTCCTAGGTTATGAGAGGTCAGGCACACCTACCACTTTAATGAGGCGTCGGCTCTGTCTCTGGGCTTGTAACAGGCAGGAGGGGAGGCTGGAGGGACCCTGGGGAGACCAGGGGGCCCATGGGGAGAGGTCAGGGGAGGCCCTGGGTCAGATGCCCGCGAGAACATCTTACCTACTAGTTCGACTAGTACTACTCTTGAAGAAGTTTTCTTATTAGGAATTAATGTGAGAATCTAAGATTTTATAAAAACAGTACAAAGATGATCAAAATTCACCGGGTGTTGCCACATATTCTATTTGCATGTTTTCTTATATATATTTAGATACAATATTGATGGTCCTCAAGATTCTGCAAAGCATGGGATGCCCCACACACACTGCAAGGAATGACATGACCCCAAAATGTCACCAGCGTGACACCGACATTCTCTTGTTTCCCTGTTCTCTCTCCTTCCAGCCGAGCGTCTGCTTCAGCTACTACGTGGAGCCGGATGACGCCGAGCCCGAGGCCGAGCCCGAGCCCGAGCCCCCGGCGGCTCCTGACGCTTCGAAGTCGGACCCGAACTGCAGCGTGGTGCCCATGCCCGTGCTGGAGTTCCGCGAGGTCAAGGTGTGCGAGTGCCCTCTGTGCTGCCTCAGCTTCGTCACCGCTTCCTAAGCCCCGAGGGCCCTCCGCTTCCCGCTCCTGACCGCGCGCCCCCGAACCATGCATGCTGGGCCACCGTAATGCTAAGTCCCCCAATGCAGCCGCTTCAATAAACTCAACTTGCTGTCGCTCCCAAGGCTGTGGTCTGTGTGTGAAACTCCCAGGGCCGGGGCGGGGCAGCTCCGTGGGGCTGGGCAGCCAGGGTCCTTGGACCTCGGTGCTCTGGGCCACGTGGCTGGAGAGGGCTCACCCCCACACCCAGGCCACATTCTGGTGCGGGGCAAGTGGGGGGATGAGGAGAGGGGAAGACAGGCTTCAGTCCTTCAAAGGGCGACTCCTACAGGAAGCCCAGGTCACTGTTCCTCACAGCTCATTGGCCAGGGCGCGTCACATGACGACATCTAGTCGCAAGGGATGCTGGGAACTGTAGTCCTTAGCCGGGCAATCCTGTGTCATCCAATAGCATCTATCACTACAGCAAAGGAGAATGAATAATGTGTCCACCTTTGATCAGGTCCATTATGTTAATTTATCCCCAGCACGTGTTGTGATGAACACATGAGTGAATAAATGTATTCTTCAATTCTGTATCTCTCCTCCATGGACCAGAGTCTCCTCCCCTCCTTTCTTATGCAGATAATTAGAATAAGGAACTTTTCTTGGGCATTGACCATGTGGAAGGCACCAAACCAGTGTCTTTACACATTTTAATCCCCTTAATGCTCACAACCATGTGGCCAATTCTGTTATTCTGTCTCTTTCTGAGATAAGAGAACAGAGGCCCAGAGTTCCTGTCACTTCCTTCAGGTCACACAGATCAGAAGGAGTCAAGCCAGGATTCAAATCCAGGGAGGCTGACTCCAGAGTCTGTGCCAACAGGACTTAGCAGTTAAACAACAACAACAATCCTCTGTATCAGACTCCTTTGATGGCAAGCAACAGAAACTCTGACTCAGGGCCTTTGCACTGGCCGTTTACTCCCCCTGCAGTGCCCTCCCCCCAGGATTTTCCTGTTGTTGACTCAGTCAGCATGTTTTCCAGTTGCTCCTTGTATGCAGGTATTGGTGACTTCACGGCTTATGAGATATTTATGACAGTTCTTTGGTGCTGGCTGGTTTTAAGATTATCACGTTTCCAGCCCTCTGTTACTTAGGAAAGCACCCACTCTTTCTGAGAAGTAAAATGATCACCCATGAGCTTCAGCACCTCAACAATTTAGAAGACTATAGAGCGAGTTTTCTCTTTAAAATAATACATGCATTTCACAAGAATCCCAAGTCGTAACAAGGTGTATTCATTAAAACAAACAAACAAAAAAGCCTCTCTCTCTTTCTCTACCTTCTACTTTTGAAGTTTTAATTTTGCTGATATTTATAATCTATTCAGCTTGAGAAATTTCTTTCAAAAGTTTTGCTTTCAAAAACCAGATTCCTGTGGGAGGGGGGACTGGGATGGGGAATACATGTAAATCCATGGCTAATTCATTTCAATGTATGACAAAAACCACTGCAATGTTGTAAACTAATTAGCCTCCAACTAATAAAAATAAATGAAAAAAAAAAACCAAAAACCAGATTCCAGGGGTGCAAGCACACATCCTTCAGACGGACTAAAGGAAAGACATGAGAGTTGGTGAGGTGGTGAAACCCCTGGAACTCTTGTGCATGGTTGTGGAAGTGTAGATTGGTGCTGCTCTTTAGAAGAGAAAGCTGGTGCCTGGCATAACTGCACATATGCATGCCCAACCCCAGCAACCCCATTCTCGGGTATATTCCCAACAGAAATGCATATTAAGCTAACAGAGGGTGTGTACAAAAGTGTTTCATGGCACCTCCTACACTGTTGGTGGGAATATAAACTGGCGCAGCCCCTCTAGAGAACAGTGTGGCGGTTCCTTAAAATCTAAAAATAAAGCTATCATATGATCCAGCAATCCCACTCCCAGGCATATATCTGAAGAAAACTTTCCTTGGAAAAGATACACGTACCCCTATGTTCAGAGAAGCACTGTTTACAATAGCCAAGACATGGAAACAACAGATGTGTACATCATCAGATGAATGGATGAAGAAGATGTGGTACATATACACAGTGGAATATTACTCAGCCATGAAAAAGAATAGTATTATGCCATTTGCAGCAACATAGATAGACCTAGAGATAATCATACTGAGTGAAGCCAGGCAGAGAAAGATAAATACCATATGATGTAACTTATAGATGGAATCTCATACAAATGAACTTAGGAAACAGAAACAGGCTCACAGACATAGAAAACACACTTATATTTACCAAGAGGGAAAGGGGTTGGGGAAGGGATAAATTAGGCATTTGAGATTAGCAGATACAAACTGCTATATAGAAAAATATAAAAGGTCCTGCTGCATAGCCCAGGGAGCTCTATCTAATATCCTATAATAAAAACAATCTGAAAAATCATATATATCTCTACCAGAATCACTTTGCTGTGCACCAGGAACTAATACAACATCGTAAATCCACTATACTTCTATTTAAAAAAAAAAATTAACTCATATACACATGTGCTGTCCCTTCAGTAGTGTCCGCTCTTTCTGACCCTATGGACTGCAGCCCACCAGTATATATAGGCTTCCCTCATGTCTCAGACAGTAAAGAATCTGCCTGCAAAAATATAGGTCAACTCATAGATTCAGTTCAGGTCAGTTCAGAAGCTCAGTCGGATCTGACTCTTTGCGACCCCGTGGACTGCAGCACGCCAGGCCTCCCTGTCCATCACCAACTCCCGGAGCTTGCTCAAACTCATGTCCATCCAGTCGGTGATGCCATCCAACCATCTTATCCTCTGTCGTCCCCTTCTCCTCCCGCCTTCAATCTTTTCTGGCATCGGAGTTTTTTCAAATGAGTCAGTTCTTCACATCAGGTGGCCAAAGGATTGGACTTTCAGCTTCAGCATCAGTGTTTCCAATGAATCATATATATATGTATGTATGTATACATAAACTTTACATATATACATGCGTATGTATAATGTTCATAACAGGTCCATTCATAGTAGTCCCAAAGTGCCGGCTACCCAAGTGCCCACAGCATTCCTCACCATTTGGCTGGGAGTCCATTTGATTAAGGTCTGACCAGGGACCATCCCTAAGAGCAAGGACCATCCTTAACAGACAGCCCAGGCGGCTGAGTTTCGGCAAGTGTGTGCGCATCCCAAGTTGCCGCATCTCAGTTGTGCGCATCAAGTTGTGCGCATCTCAGTTGCCGCCATCTTGGGGCTTTGCGAGTAGGCCATTGTGAGCAGCAGTGAGTGTGTGGGTGTTTGGGAGAGGGGTCGCCGCGTGCCTGGGGGTCACTGTGTGTCTGATGATTCTGCAGGGCGGGCCCCCAGACACCAGTGCCACCCCCACCCCGGGCATCCAGGCCCTTGTGTCTCCGCCGCTTGGCAGTGTAACACGGTTCTTCCCTGCCAACTCCACGTCCCGTCTCCTGGAAGACCTGGGCCCGGGCGGGGTCCAGGCGGGGGGGGGGGGGGGCCCAGGTGAGACCCCCCGCCAGGGAGACAGTGATGCTGGGACGCCGGGCTCACAGAGGGGGTGTGAGGCCAGACTTTCCAGTCCTCCAATTCTGATAACAACAGGCTTGTTTCAGGCACTGTTTTAACCGCTAGATTTGAGTACCCGTGTGGACCGCGGGTTGCGGGGGTCGTGAGCCGCTCCTTCCGCGCTTTTGTCCTGGGGGTCCCCAGGCACGTTTTTAGGACCCCCGCCCCGCGCGGGATGCCAGGACCAGCACTGCGCCAACCCCCCTCCCCGACTCCGTGCCCCCGGCACCCGCGCCAGGTCACAGCCGGGTTGTGGGGGGCTGGGGCAGTCCCCCGCTGTGGCTCTGAAGGGTGGGGGGCGGTGATCAGGGTTGGGGGACTGAGGGAGCCGGGGCTGCAGGGGGTGGCGCTGCGAGCGCAGGGGGAAGGCGAGGGGGCGCCCTGGGAGCGGGTCTGCGGGCGCGGGGTGGTCTCGAGGGGGCGCTGCCCGGGAGCCTGGGAGGGGCCGACGGGCTGGGCGGGCGCGCGGGGTGGTCGCCCGGGAAGGCCCGCGGTTCTCCGCCGGGCCGGGCGCACAGGCGGCCTGGGCTCCCGCGGAGGTCGGCTGCCACCTAGCGGGCGGGAGGCGAGGGCCGGGCACGCGGCGGCCGGCGCCGAGGGGCCCTCGCGGCTGCGAATTCCCGGCCGGCGGGCAGCGCGGGGCTCAGGGCCAGGGGCACAGCCTGGGATCTGAGACCCCGGAGAGCGGGTGGCGGGAGACGTCTTCTGACCCTCATCCCCTAAGAACAATGAAATTGTCGTTTAGTCCCTCAGTCGTGAGCCTCTGTGTGCGACCCCGTGGACTGCAGCCGCCAGGCTCCTCTGTCCATGGGATTCTCCAGGCAGGAATAGCGGAGTGGGTTGCCATGCCCGCTAAGGGATCTTCCCCACCCAGGGATCGAACCTGCGTCTCCTGCATTAGCGAGCAGATTCTTTACCCCTGTGCCCCTGACGCGTACTCAGGAAGAATTTTTCACTTTTGCAAATATGTATAAAAGAAGCAGAGGCTGCTCTGACATCTCCCCGGGGGGTTGCAGCGGGGGGGGGGGGGCGAAACGCCCCGCTGTTTCTGTTCCCAACCCGGGAGGGGGCAGGAAAGGAATTGAAGGTGAAGGAACTGAGGCTGGTTTCTAACTCCTGATGGAGATTTTCCAGTTGCAGTCACCCAAAGCGAGACCCTGAATCCTTGAGCTGAACCCCCCAGGGGCAGAAAACAGGGTCGCGGGGGGAGCGGAGCGGGGCGCAAAACCTACATCAGGCGTCAGCTGCCAAGTGTGTATTTCTAAAATAATAAACATGGACTTCTGGCTTCAGAAATGCCGTCCGGTTCACCGTGGTGCTCAGTTCGGGGTTTAAAGTCACCTAGAGGCACAGCCTCCTGAGATGAATGTGAAGTCACGACTGGGGAAATCCTCGAGGGCGTTCGGAAATGCTGTCGCTCTGCTTTCGGGAGTAATGAGGCGTGAGGGGGAGATGAGCGCCTGGGGGTCACGTGCTCAAAGGTCTCCATCCTGCCGGATCTGCCCGTCTCCTCTCCCCGGGGAGGCGGGAAGTGACTCCTTTCACCAGG